GATTTAGGTTTATCTTATTCTTCACAACTTACAAGTGCTTTAGAAATGTTCTTTCATACATATTTGCATGAATATATAAAGCATACTTATAACATTTTATGTAAAATTAAAGAATACTTAACAAAATCAAAATTTTAAGAAGCAATGGGGCTGGTGCTGTGGTGTAGCAGGTAAAACCACTGCCTGTGGTGCCAGCATCCCATATGGGCCCCGGTTCTAGTGTCGGCTGCTCCACTTCTGATCCAGCTCTCTGCTATGGCCTGCAAAAGCAGTAGAAGATGGCCCAAGTCCTTGGGCCCCTGTACCCACGTAGGAGATGCAGAAGCAGCTCCTGGTTCCCGCCTTTCAGAATGGCGCAGTTCCAGCCATTGTGGCCAACTGGGGAGTGAACCAGTGGATGGAAGACTGCTCTCTCGCTCTCTCTCTCTCTGTTTCTCCTTCTCTCTCTGTGTAACTCTGACTTTCAAGTGAATAAATAAATCTTAAAAATAAATAAATAAATAGTAATGACATTGATTGGAAACAAAAACACACTGGCAATGTTTAAAAGTCTGGAGTGATTTAAAAAACAATGAAACTACTTTTAAATTTATACAGTTTTTAAGTTGAAATGCCAACATTATGAATACCCCAAAAGTTGTTGATATAACAAAATTATTTTTCTTCGTCTAGAATTAAACTTCTTTTTTGAAGGTCATGTATATCAACATTCAGACAACTCAACGTGGTGTGTCCTACGGTCACAGGCACACTTGGGAAACACCTTCAGCACGTGGCACGCTACTGCTGTTTCCGGCCTGTGTCATGGAAACTACATCTGCATTCGGCACCTTCAACTGCAGCAGCACATGCTAGCTAGAAATCAATCTGTATTTCTCCTGCAGGCCCCACCATCTCCATAGCATAGTGATCCACTGGTGCTAATACTACATGTAGAAAAACTCAGTATAACAACACTAGCCATGCAAACTGTGGTGCATGTAATTAGATATTACTGTAGAAGTTGATATTTATTCTCCATACACACAGTACACACCAAGTGGACACGGAGCTTCCTTGGGCTTCGCTAGCAATTTGCTCGCAACAGAGAGAGCTGCCAGTGACACAACTCTTTTCCTCTTCTTTCTTTTCAGGTAATTTTTCTGTTAGCTGCCTAGGTAGCAGGGTGTGTGTGTGTGTGTGTGTGCGTGTGTGTGAATCTTTCTTTTTGGTACTGTGTTCTGGGTGTCAGAAGTGGGTGATGGAGAATAAAATGAAAGGGGATTTGCTGATGGTGAGCGCTGGACTGAGCGCTGAGAAATGGCGATGCTCTGCTCTGCTCTGCTCTGCCCACAAGCTGATATAAAACCTGGGGCAAGTCCAAGGTGCAGGTTTCTCATCTGAGGAGGCAGATTGGCTACATTATTTTCTATATTTGCTTTGTTCATTTTGTTTTTTCAATCCAATACTGAGGTCCCAACTTGACCAATCTCATTCACTTATTTGACAAATACTTAAATATTTACTGAAGGCCTCATGTACCCAAGACCCTGGTCACAGCACTGACGCCCAAGGCCCAGTGCAGGCATATGGCCTACTGGTTAAGAGATCCACATCCACATCACAGGACCTGGGTTCGATTCCTGATTCTTCTCCCAAACCCAGCTTTAGTCAGCAGGTGATGGCTTAGGTAGGGTCCATGCTACCCACAGGAGAGGCCTGAAGTGAGTCGGATGACTCCTGCCTGCAGCTGGGGAATGCTGCAGCCATTTGGGGCAGTAAACCTACTAGCAGATGGGATCTCTCCTCTCTCTCTCTCTCTCTCTCTCTCTCTCTCTCTGAGCCTGTCACTCTGCCTCTCAAAATTAAAACAAAAACAAAAACCCTAGGCTTAGGGAACTCATCATGTTCAAGTGTGGAGGAAGATGGACACTACATACACCAAAAGACTAAAACACAAGGTATGTCCAACAGTGGCCACTGCTAAGGAAAAAGCATAAAGTGAGGAAGGAGGAAAACACACGCTGGGCAGGGTGGTCAGAACTGTAAATGATGCGACCAGGGAAGCCCTCCACAAGATGGTGGCTGTCAGCGTAAAAGGCTGAAGAGGTGAGGACCCCATGCCCCCAGATCTCTGGGGCAGGTGTTCCTGGCAGAGGGAGGGCAGGAAGCAGGGACCCAGAGGAAATGTCTGCAGAGGGCAGTGAAGCCAAGGCACTTACATGCAGCACACACAAACGATGAGGAAGGCCTGGGTCCAGAGCAGGGCAGAGGGAGGGATGCAAGAGAGGCATCAGGATAAAGACAAGGTCTTAGCTCAGGGGCCACCTTTTGAAGCAGCAGAACATGCAGAGAAGTGGTTTGTTCGTTTTGGAGGGACTGTGTATACCAGGAGCTCAGTTTTCAACATACAGTTTAAGACATCATGGGTGGGCACTGTGGCGCAGCAGGGTAAGCCACTGCTTAGAACACTGAGTATGGAGTGCCTAGGATTGAATCCAGACTCCACTTCTGACCCAGCTTCCTGCTAACACACATCTCGGGAGGCAAAAGATGATGACTCAAGTACTTGGTTCTCTGCCATTCACATGGGAGACCCAGATGGAGTTCCTTGCTCCTAGCTTCAGCCTGGCCCACCCCTGGCTATTGTGGGCATATGGGGAGCGAACCAGGACACTGAAGTCCTGTGTGTGTGTGTGTGTGTGTCGCTGTGCCTCTCAAAGAAAAATAAATAAAATTTTTAAAAAGTTAAGAAATCAGGGGTCCCGGGCTATGGTGTAGCAGGTTAAAGCCTGCGCCTGCAGCACCGCCACCCCATATGGTCACTGGTTCAAGTCCTGGCTTCTCCATTTCCAATACAGCTCTCTAATGTGTCTTGGGAAAGCAGTAGAAGATGGCCCAAGTCCTTGGGCCCCTGCACCCACGTGGGAGATTTGGAAGCAGCTCCTAGCTCCTGGCTTCGAATCTGCTCAGTTCTGACTATTGCAAACATATGGGGAGTGAACCAACGGATGGAAGACCTCTCTCTCTGTCTCTACCTCTCTCTGTAACTCTTTCAAATAAATAAAATAGACATTTAAAAAAAGAAATCTATCACAATCTCAGTGGATATTCGGTAAAGACAGCACAAGCAACCTTTCTAGCATGAGCACTGAAGGACAAAAAGCAACTGTGCACACGCACATGACACAATGGTGCACACGCACATGACACAACTGTGCACACGCACATGATACAACTCTGTAGCCATTACAAGAGTGAGGTTTTTCCGTACCAATACAGAAAGACGTCGAAGACATGTTGTTGTGTGAGAAGATGTGTAATTCCATTTCTGTGAGAATATTCTATTATTAATAACTTAAATACCGGGCTGGCGCTGTGGCACAGTGGGTTAACACCCTGGCCTAACAAGTCAGCATTCCATATGGGCGCTGATGAAAGATCTCTCTCTGTCTCTACCTCTTTCTGTTTAACTCTGCCTTTCAAAAAAATAAAAAAAAAAAACTTAGGTTACTAGGGCCTATGCTGTGGTGTCGCAGGTAAAGCTATTGCTTGCAGTACTGGCACCCCATACAGGCACTATTTCATGTCCCAGTTACTCCTTTTCCAATCCAGCTCTCTGCTGTGGTCTGGGAAAGTAGTGGAAGATGGCCCAAGTCCTTGGACCCCTCACTCACGTGGGAAACCCAGAAGAAGCTCCTGGTTCCTGGCTCCTGGCTTTGGATTGGCACAATTCCAACCATTGTGGCCATTTGGGGAATGAACCAGTGGATGAAAAACCTCTCTCTGTCCCTCCCTCTCTCTGTCTATAACTACCTCCAAAATAAATAAATACATAAATCTTAAAAAAAATCCTCTTAGGTTACAGGTACTACTATACAGCTACTTCATTTATATTTACATATGCATATATGTAAACACATAGCCCTATACATATGTCAGTAATGAACCTCTATGTAAACATGCATTATTATTACTATCATTCCTATCTCAATGCAAAAACACTGTTTTTGATCTAGTGCACAGGCTTTTCTGATATTCTCAACAAACTTACTGAGCTACAGAATACCCAACACTAATCACAGCTGGATGAGGTATCCAAAGGACATGAACAGACATTTCACAAATGCTACATGAAGGAAGGCCTGCAGAAATATTGAACTAGACTAGCAATAAACAGAGAAACAAAATTAAAACAATAAGATGCTTTTATAAACAAATTACTGTGTAAATTACAGCAGCTAATAGGCATTCAAAATGGTCTTATGATGAGTGATATTCTAAAGAGAAAGGAAACTACTGGCAACACGTGGAACAAACCATAAAGTTATTTGATTGAGGAGGAAATGTACTTTACACATTTTAAAAAATCTTATACATGTTTAAAAATAATCCCAAACACCAAGACACATGAAGTTGCCCACTAGAATACCTCTCATTATGGCAAAATGGCCCAGGCAGCTTAAACAGCAACAGCTGGGATGCTGGGATAAGCAAAATGGGTTACATCTACCCACCATGATGTTAAATACAATATCTCCACTAAAACAATGCTCATAAATATGTTATAGCCACATGAAAAATAATTAATAGGATCTCAGGCGGGAAATAAGCAAGATGCAAAATTATGACTCAATGTCATCAGAACTGGGGATTCAAAAGGACCTAACAGAAACAGCCAGGAAAAAAAAGAAACTGAGGGAAAAAAAAGTCAAGGTAATTTTTTTCAAAAGCACCTTCATATAATACACTCTCATTTTTATTATACAAACATGGAGAATATCATCATGGAAAAATAATTTAAAAATTCAACAAACTAAAGATAACTTTTACAACTACTTCCTCTCCAATAAGCAGCTACAGTAATTCTAGAGAAACTTCCCTGACACGTTAAAAATCCCATTTCTTGTACAAAGACATCACAATTTAAACAGCAAAATAAAATACATGGGTAAGGCTAGAACACTCTTCTCCTGTACAAATCAACAGAAAACACAAAATAATGATTCTTTCAGACTCACCACTGTGCCAAGAAACTGAATGTTCATGCTGCCCCCTGCTTCTCGAGAAAGGCACTGAAAGAAAAAGCGGAGTAAAATGGATGTGCGTCCACCAGAAACCCGCACCTGGACGTTCACACGGGCAACAAATACAAACACTGCTTAGCCATGAGAAAGAACACACTCTAACAGAAGTCGTCAAAGGGATCACACAAGATACGAGTCCATTTATAAGAAATGTCCACAACCGGCAAATCCACACAAAATCCATTGTTATTTCTGGGTGGAAGACATGGGTTGATATTCCTTCCTTTGTTTTTCATTTATTTGTTTCTTCTGTATTCTTTTTAAGTACATGTATTACTTAATGGAGGAGCAAAGAGAAAGAAAGAAAACTGAATGGGGTTATTTGTGTGGTGCAGTGGGTTAAACCGCTGCCTGTGCATCCCAAACGGGCACTGGTTCAAGTCCCAGCTGCTCCACTTCTGATCCAGCTCCCTGCTAATGTACCTGGGAAAGCAGTGGAAGATGGCCCAAGTGCTTGGATCTCTGCCACCCACACAGGACACCCAGATGGAATTCCACTCTCCTGGCCTGGCTTTGGCTGTTGCGGCCATTTAGGGAGTGAACCAGTGGATGGTTCTCTCTGCTACTCAGCCTTTCAAGTAAATGATTCTTAAAAAGAAAAAAGAAAAAAGAAAAAAAAAGAATACAGAATAGAATACAACAGGTTCTTTTCCTTCGTGTCCAAAGGATACTCAAGAACTGAATGTAGAATCCTAGGTTCTGGCATGGGCATTTCTACTTCAGTCATCCACCTATCCATCCACCTACTACTATGTGTTGAGCACTCTTGCTGAATTAAGTCTACCTCCCAGGAGACTGAGAGAAAGAACGGGATTACAAAACGAGTAAGTGTAATTCAATATGATAAATCCATAATACACAATGTACAAAGTAGCATGGGATATGAAAACAGACCAACTAAATGCTCAGAAAGGTTAAGAAAGATGTGTAGATACATATTAGAGCTGGCTTTTTTTTTTTTTTTAATGTTTTTCGCTTTGTTTTCTTCTACTTGAAAGGCAGAGTGATAGAAACAGAGACAAAAAGAGATCTTCCATGCAGTGGTTACTCCCCAGATGCTCACAACAGCCAGGGCTGGACCAGGCTGAAGGCAGGAGACTGGAACTCCATCTGGGTGTTCCACGTGGGCAGGGCTGAAGCACTTGAGTCATTACCTGCTGCCTCCTGGGATGCATTAGCAGGATGCTGGGTTGGAAGCAGAGGAGCCAGGACTCCAACTGGAACTCTGATACATACCGTGGATGTCCCAAGCAGTGACATGCCCCACTGTGTCAACACCCACTCTAGAGCTGGGTTTTTAAAATGAGCAGGAAACAGTCCTAATAGAAAACACTATAGAGATTCCACACAAACTAAAAACTAGGACTACCATATGATCCAGCAATCCCACTACTGGGTATATCTCCAGAGAAAATACAATCAGAATGTTGAGGAAACATCTTCATCTGCTGTTCAGTGCAGCATGATTCAAGATAACTAAGAAACAAAATTAACCTACATGTCCACTAATCAATAAATGGATGAAGAAAATTGGTAAATATACACAATGGAATACTATGTAGCTGATTCTGTCCCGGTTGCCCCTCTTCCAGGCCAGCTCTCTGCTGTGGCCAGGGAGTGCAGTGGAGGATGGCCCAAGTGCTTGGGCCCTGCACCCGCTTGGGAGACCAGGAGGAAGCACCTGGCTCCTGCTTTCGGATCAGAGCGGTGCGCCGGCCGCAGTGCGCCGCCCATGGCAGCCATTGGAGGGTGAACCAATGGCAAAAGGAAGACCTTTCTCTCTGTCTCTCTCTCTCACTGTCCACTCTGTCAAAAATAAAAAAATAAAATAAAAAAATAAAAAAAAGGAAGGAGATCCTGTTGTTTGCAACAAAATGGATGAACTCAGAGGACATTATGTTACGTGAAATGAGGAACAGAAAGACAAACAGCATATGATCTCAGTGCCATACAGAATGATTAAAAGTTCAGTTCACAGAGATAAGAGGACAAAAGTGCAGTTACCAGTGGCTTAGGTTCAGGGGATTGGGAGATACTGGTAAAAGGATATAAAATTCTAGTTAGTTAAGAGGAAGAAAGCCAAGACACAGTGACTGTAGTTAACGACAAGGCATTATATTCTTGAAAATTGTTGAGAGTGGACTTTTAAGTATTCTCGTTATAAAAAATAAACATGTGAGGTAATTTGTATGCTAATTAGCTTGATTTAGCCTTCCACAATGTATACATGTTTCAAAATAACCTACTATATATGATAAATATTTTCAATTTTTGCCAATTAAAAGTAACTTTGAGAAGTGAACAGGAAGGCCGGTGCCGCGGCTCACTAGGCTAATCCTCCGCCTAGCGGCGCCGGCACACCGGGTTCTAGTCCCGGTCGGGGCGCCGGATTCTGTCCTGGTTGCCCCTCTTCCAGGCCAGCTCTCTGCTGTGGCCAGGGAGTGCAGTGGAGGATGGCCCAGGTGCTTGGGCCCTGCACCCCATGGGAGACCAGGAAAAGCACCTGGCTCCTGGCTCCTGCCATCGGATCAGCGTGGTGCGCTGGCCGCAGCGCGCCGGCCGCGGTGGCCATTGGAGGGTGAACCAACGGCAAAGGAAGACCTTTCTCTCTGTCTCTCTCACTGTCCACTCTGCCTGTCAAAAAATTAAAAAAAAAAAGAAAGAAAGAAAGAAAGAAAAGTGAACAGGAATTCTCCAAGGGGTAAAAGCAAGAGAAACTTTCAGCTGATGACACAACTTATTCACATTTCAGATTAAGAGACAGCATGGTGAGTTTAAGGGGTGTGAGTAGCTCAGTGTGGCTGGAGACAGAGGTGGCTGCAGGGCAGAAGCATAGCAAGGGAAACTGGGAAGGAATGACAGAGCCAGGCCATGTCTCGCAGAGCGTACTCATAATTTACCCAGTCCCTGTACTTAAAAACTGGGCTGTGACCTGTCTATGTTCTAGAAGGACTGATGATTTCAAGTAAGGTTGAGGACCTATGGCGGGGGGGAGGGCAGGTTAGGATTCCAGGGAGAGTAGCAACGCAGGTGTCCAGACAGGAGGCCAGACAACAGCAGATCTAGTCTGACTCATTCACAGGACCTTAGGCCTGGAAGGGCAAACAGGCCGGAAAGAAAATACTAATTTTGTTTTATTGATGAGGAAACAAAGACAAAAATTAAAAAAAAAAAAAAAACCTAATTTGCGTCCACTGTAGCCAGAGAGCAAGACTGGCCAGCAACACATGTGGCTGTGCAGGATGGAGCAGCTCTGCCAGGACTTAGCCTAGGTCATCCAACGGCGGACAGCTCGACAAGGACACGGACACTTCTGCACCTCCTCCTGAGTGCCAACAACACACAAGCCAGTGCTGCAGAAACGCGAGCAAGGTCACTCTTCACCAGGAATTCTCCAGTCTCCCCAGACTATGAGAGATCAAGTGACTCAGACATGTCTCATTCATCGATGGTCTGGCAGCAGACTTCCTGGCTGGCGACAGTCAGAGGTGTCGCTGTGAAGACACCAGAGAAAGAGGCAGTGGAGAAGAAGAGACTGTGCCAGGCGACCTGCCAGCTTCCCCCGGCTCGCTGGCGGAGTGGTGAAGAAGCACCTCGGTACAAGCACACCCGAGGCTGTGAGCCGGGCGCTGGCCGCGGCAGCATCCGTGCTCTGCTAGGGCAGCAGGGACGGCAGCAAGCACACTCCCGGGACGCGGACTGACCCATGCGGGGGCAGCCCAGCTCACTGCCTCCGTCAGCCTTAGCAGTCCCGAGTGAGAGCACTTCTGATTTAGAAGTGGCTCCTGGATTCCAGGAAGGTGGCAGTGACAGTATATCGTCTGAATCCTGCCTGATCTCCGGGAACAACAGCAGAGAACCAGAACTGCAAAAATGAAACCCCATAGAGTGTATCTAGACAAAACCAGGTGACAAAGTATCCTCACAGCGCCCCAAATACAAACAACAGGGACAACTGTGCAAGACTTGTGCAACAGGGCACTGAACGGGCCCGAGAATCCCAAGTAAACAAAGACACTCACCGACTCTGAGTGAGGGTCACTTTGAGGACTGCAACTGAAACACAGAGAGGTTTGGCAGGTGCAGCCTCAAGGGAAGGCGGGGACCTGGAGTAAGGTCCAAAGGATGGGAACAGTACGGTTCCTTTGGCTTCTAAAGCCATGCAACACGACTCCCTCCTTGGTTAAAAGAAACCACCACTCTAAATTCAACACTAAGGAACAACAGAGAAATATATAAAGAAGGTACAAATAAAAAGGGAAGAGAGAAAGAGTCACAGAATTTTACAGTATATAAGCTACATCGCCATAAAGCTGGTTTTTAAATAATAGTCAAGTACCTCAGGCAACCACTATATTTTTGAACATTTCACCAACATAGCGACAGCAACAAAAGGAAGAGAAGTCCCCCTTCGCCATACCCACCTCCCTTGTAAACACTAAAAAAAGAAAACCCAGAAACCACAAAATCTGAACAACTAATTACAAATAGAAATGAGCAACAGAAAACAGTCAAGGCTGAAATCCAGACAAACTTACTATAATGAAAAAGAAGAGAAAGTGTAGAATATGTCCCTACAAAAATGATGGAACAGGTGCTGGCATTGAGGTGCATCAGTTAAGCCACTGCCTGCAATGCTGGCATTCCACAGAGCACTGGTTCTAGTACTGGTTGTTCCACTTATGATCCAAGTCACTGTTAATGAGCCTGGAAAAGCAGCGGACGATGGTCCAAGTACCTGGGCTCCTGACACCTGCATGGGAGTTGCTGATGGAGTTCCAGGCTGCTGGCCTCTGCCTGGCCCAGCCCTGGGCATTGTGGCCATTTCAGGGGGTGAGCCAGCAGATAGAAGATCTCTCTCTCTCTCTCCCTCCCTCCATCCTTCCCTCTCTAACTTTGCCTTTTGCCTTTCAAATAAATAAATATTTTAAAAAAGAACTACATAACCAGAAGACATGCCCACTCCACAGATGAAACCACAACTGAAG